AACAACATGTTGTTCATACCATGCAACTTAAGGCTGGAATACACTGCACGACTGAAAATCGGAACAGATTTGAAATCATTAGACATAATACACTTGCCGATAGAGATGCACTGATTGACCGACCAGGGACCGGAATCTACCATTTTTCTGCATGATCAGTAAGCGGCCGGTCAGTCTCATTTCTTCATGGACGGTCCGTTTTGGCAATAACGTCACCTGCGCGTTCTCACTCTCTTATCTCCAACGGTGAAGTGACACACACCCACCTCCTCTCACTCACTCATTTCATTCGCTCCGGTTAAATAGCCTAGGGCAGGGTTACACAAACTCGGTCCTGGGGGGCCACTGTCCTACAGAGTTTAGCTTCAACCCTGATCAAACACACCTGAGCAAGCTAATCAAGGTCTTCAGGATCACTAGAAACTCACAGGTAGGTGTGTTTGATCAGGGTTGGAGCGAGTTTAAGGAACCCTGGCCTAAGGCTTGTATTGCGCATCATTTTACTAATTTCCGCAGGTTTTCACACAGCGAGCACCACTGATCTATATAAGGGAAGCGTACAAGCCGCCTCTCAAGCAGCTTGTGAGTCGCAAGTACCAAATTGAGTGGCTTACTGCGCTTAAACGTTCAAATTAGGGGTGTAACGAATACATGTATTCGTATTGAACCGTTCCGTGAACCGTATTGAAATGGTCGTTGGACCATTTTTCCTGCCGACCAAAATTTCGTTATTTCAAATGTAGGCGCGTCGCAAGTGCGCTCATAATGTAAGAGACGCTGGCGTGACCACAACATTGCCCAACATCAAATGGCAAATGTAATGCAAGCGAAAAGAAAAAATTTGAATTCGCCACTGAAGTAATAACACCGCTGCGATCTAGAGAGAAGCGTTCACATTTCTCCGTTATTAACGGATCAAACAGCGCTGACGTGGAAACCAGGAAGAAACATTGTGCCATGAATGAACTATTCAGTGTACAGATCAACAACATTCACCATGGATTTACTGTAGTAACACTACTAACTGTAACCATGGAAGTTTGGCTGGAATAGTAGCCTATAATGCTTTCAAGTAACATTACGTCGGTTTTATTTTGACATTATGAATACAATTGCTGCCCTCAAATGTTAATCTGAACTAAAATAAACCTTTGTTTATAACTACTACAATATTACATTTCATTTTGTCCAAGGAGCTGTTTTGTTTTATATGCTCCTAAGAAAAGTCAAGTATAGCTCAAAGTAAAAAAAATATCATACTTTATGATGTTAGTTTTAATAAAAATAGAATTTAAAAAAATAAATCAAGGACATTTCTCTGGCATTTCTTTCTTTTTGCTGTATCGAAAACGTACCGAACCATGACAAGTGTATCGTATCGAAACGAACCGTGAATTTTGTGAACCGTTACATTACACCCCTAGTTCAAACTTCAAATACACACAAAATTGCCAAAATGCCAGTTTTGGTGAGTATTCAGTTAAACACAGTTAGTTTTGGAACCTAATTAGTTGAGAAATATAAGTTGTGTAATAATATATTGGATCCATGTCTAAACTCTTAAAGTGACCACAGTCTAATATTCCTGTCATGTTAATAAAAAAACAAAAGAGAGAAATTCACTCTTTACTCTTGACTGAATACATTTTTTAACTAAATCGCAAACATTAATCTGCATTTCATTTTTACAATGAAAACTATCCAGTGTTATTTTACATTTGATTGCTTTAATTTCTGTAGTATTTCTTACCTGAATATACAGTATAACCATCTGAAAAACTTAAAGCTGTTTTTCATCTCTCTCCTCTATTGTATTTATTTGTGCTGTTGTTTAAAATTTGTTATTGTTCTGATTTTATTAGTCTTTATCTAGTCATTTAAAAACTTTCTCAGAATTGCGAGATATAAACTCGCAATTCTGACTTTATAACACGCAATTGCGACTTTATATCATGCTATTCTGACTTCAACAAATGGCAACATTTTTGATTGATTTATGAATTTTCACACTTCTTTTTCCTAAATCTGGGATGTTAAAAGACAGATGAAAGTCTAAGAGACTCAAAAAAATTTGGCAAAGTAGTCAATACAACTTGCCTTTGCGAAAACTGACTGTAAAAGAGCTTAAGGTTTGACAGTAACACCTGCCAACCAACCAAGTACGGCTGAAAATCAACCGTGGTGGGTAACATCTGATCTCTGAGGACATTTGTTGTCTTGTTCCAACCTCCTTTCTTACAAAAAGGGCCATTTGTAATTTTTATAGCATCTACAAAATCTTACACATTTATTTTGTAACTATTTCAAGTGTAACCATTAGTGATGCACCAAAATGAAAATTCTGGGCCTAAAGACTTTACAATGTACTTTTTTTTATACAAGTTATTAGTATTAATTAGGGCTGTCAAAAGATTAATCGCATCCAAAATAAAAGTTTGTGTTTACATAATATGTGTGTGTGCTGTGTATAATTATTTTGTTTATAAATGCACACACGTATATATTTCAGAAAAATATGTTATTTATATATAAAATGTTTATATTTATATAAAATATACATTATATATAGGCTACATTCAGTCTATATACAGTATATATATGCAAATATTACTTAAATACACATGCATGTGTGGGTATAATACTTATGTATTAAAAATAATTATACACAGTACACACACATATATTATGTAAACACAAACTTTTATTTTGGATGCGATTAATCGTGATTAATTTTTTGACAGCCCTAGTATTAATATTAGACTTTTTTTTTTTAAATTTCACAAAAAATTGCAGCAATGCTGAGAATTGAATGTGTACTTGTGTCAGACTGTAATTGATAAAAACACATTTAAGAATGAATTTCCTGTCCAGTGGAGTTAGAGTACATCCAAAAGCTTTTAGAGTAAAAAAAAAGTCAACTGTCCATTAGCTGTCAGCACATTCCATTTATCCAGCCATAAAAAAAGATGAAAAAACATCACTATGCTAAACCGCAACATTATGTTTCGCAACAAACAATTACACACGATTTAACAAAAGCTGCCTACACCTGTACCAATTTATTTATCAATGTAGTTCCACTGCAAGGACATACAAAGACGTCAAACCCAACATTACACAATGAATGACAATGAAAAGGCCAACTATATCAATATCCACCTCCTTTCAGCTGAATTCATGCATGCTTAAAAGATCCCTTCAGCTCTGGCATCCATTACATTACAGAAACTTGACTGCAGGGCTTGTTTGTGCAACAGACACTCGGAAGAACAGGGAGTCAGAAAAATTATGAGTAGGATCACTATTTAAGCAGTTCTAACAGAAAGCATTACATTAGAGATGCACCAATGTTTCGGACGCAGATTTTTTTATCAGCTGATTTTTGATCAATTTAGAAACAGCAATGCTCCACTAAATGGGGCAAACTGACAAAAAAGAAAACAGTTCTACAGTTAAAATGTTCCTTGATACTTTGGATTAGGAAATATATTCTCAAACATGAGTTAAAATGTAATTCCCATGGGTTAGTTTTCACCAACTATTGCGGTTTTACCTTTGGACTTAATACAATCAAATCATTGTTTCTGGGTAGGTCATGGGAATGTCACAACAACAAAAAAATTAGACAAACTTCCAGAGACCATTTTTGTCTGTTTTTTTTACTTGTTTGAGACCTCCACAGCAATTTGTCAATAGGCCATGTTAATAAAAACAATATGAAGCTTTAAGATACAGCTGTTGTTTGGTCTTTGAATGATATAATGATGTTACTAGCAGATAAATAGTAATTTCTGTTAAGTCATTTAGGAAAAATGTAAACCAGTGTTTGGAGATTATCACATTGGTAGCTATTTTGCAGACTAAGTAAAGCATCCTTTTGCTGGTTAGTCAAGCAATAACATAAATTGTTGGAAACTTTCTATTATGTTATACAGACAAACCATTTCTGTCAGTCAATCTAGTTTTAGTTTGTGACCATCAACAAAGCACATGCAAGCTCTAACTTTTTAAAAACTTGAGAAAAGCCATGCAGTTTTTCATTGGGTTTAGCTGGTCTAATATTGACTAATTATGATGTTTCTCATCAAGTTGCCCCATAAATAGTGACCATCACTTGCAGAGTAAATCATCTGAAAGACTAAATTGAAACTCATTCATTTTCAGGTGAAGATCGAGCACTGACGGATCAAAACAAGGCCCACAGGTACTAAGGTCATTCGGCGTTGTATTTTAGGGTTGACAGCTGAATCGTCAAGTTCGTTATTAAAAATACAACAACAACAAAAATACTAAAGTGTGTTGTGTGATGTTAAGGTTGAGCGATACCGTTATCCATTCACCACCACATGAAATTAGCATGGTGCCTTTAGCTAAGCTAATAGGCTAATTAGCTAGCATGTATAACGGGCCTGCGAACCGTCTTAATGTATAACATTTAAACAACACAAACTCCATCATTATACACACACAAAAAAAAACATTTGACAGTTGGACAAATGCCGTCAGAGACCGTCCAAGCTCATTTGCTGCAGACTAAAGAGATGTTTTAGCGGTATAACCACTGTTGGCAAGAAAAATGTATAGATAAGAAGAATGTATCTGATAAAGAAGTGGACTGTCTACCAAGTCAACATTTTAAAGCGTTATATGAAGGTAAAAAGCGCCTATTGTGCTCCAAAATGCTGCACGCTCATGTCATGCAGCCCAAAGATGATGCCTAAGTAGGCAGCTGAGCTCACTAGGGTTTGAAACACAGCCCAGAGAAGAGGGAAAGACAAGCGTGTGGATTGTGTAGATTTAATAGAAGAACACGCTTCAACGGGAAGGGGTCATAAATAGGTTTAAAATTGTGAAATAAGAGAGATCATACTGTTATATTAACCGTGTGCTGCTCGTGATCAGCTGAGGGTGTGACGTCACGGGATCCGCACCTTCATAAGTAACGGGCCTCTGCATCGACACACAAGATCTTTAGAAAGCAAAAGCCCGGGCATACTCACGCTTTATCCACCAACTCCCTGACTTTCCACATATTCAACATCTCGGCGCTTTAGCAGGGGCTCTCCGCCTCAATATCTCGTCGTCCAGTCCGCACTAAAACACAGGTGGACTCGGATATCTGTTACCGATAATAACAGAATCCCTCAGCCCCTTCCGCCTCTCCAGCGCTAATCGACGCAGCACAGCGGAGCGGACAGTTACTACGGTGACGCGGATTGTGCGTCAGGATGGAGAGGACGCGGGCATGACGTCGAATGTGGTCATCATGGGAAATGTCGTTTTTCGAGAAACGTAACGCAAAGCACTTGTTTTGTTAATCACCGAAAGGGGTCATGAAATGCAGTTTTAGATTTTTATACTAGGTTTCTCCAGGTTAGTTTATACATTTTGCAGAAACAGATCAGGCATGTTCTTTATTTCTTAAGACTTTAAAGATTTCAAATCGAACTAACCAGGTTAGCATGGCTACACTTTATAGTGGTAAGGAACCCAACTGAATTATAGGCTATATATATTTCATTTATTTATTTAGAAATCTTGATATGCAGTGCATTTTGAGCTCTGTACAATGTAAAATTATATGATCAATAAGTTATGAGAACATGTTTTTACATTGATTTAACTCATCAAAATAAGTTTAGCAATTTTCAACTTTTTTGTTATACAAAATTCAACTAATTTTTAAGTCAGTTTAATGTAAGTTAAATTATATAAACAAAGGTGATTGTACTTGAATTTAAGGCAGCATTTATTTTACAGTGTACCTTTAAAAAAGCATATATTATTTATATTATTTCAGAAGAAAGAAAGATGTCAAATTTTATGTCACTCATCAGCGTTTGTATTAGAAAACTAGACTAAGCTAAGCCTATATGGTTATAAATACTTTTATTATTGTCAAATAAATACAAGGTTTCTCCACATAAGAATACTTTAAATGTCTTTCTAAATTAAAGCTGCAGTCCGTAACTTTTTTGGGTTAAAAATTATCCAAAATAAATTTTTCAGCAAGTACATAACCAGCCAGTGTTCAAAACTATCTGCTTGCCTTAGCTCGATTCAAAACGGTAAGCTTGTAATAATGTTTTTAATTCCAGTGGTACTGGTGGATATCCGTGGGAGATTCGAGCATGTCTTTGCATCATTAAGTCACATCTGTATACACAAAGAAGGAGTCTCGGCTAGTAGAAGCTATATTGCGAGTGAGGATGTTAGAGGTGGAGATTTATAGGCTTTTCTCACAGCACTTGATATAATTAAACTTATCAATTTGATGGCGGATCCAGAAAGGTTCAAACGACAATCACCAGTGACAACTGGAGATTCACCCATTGTAAAATGCAAAAGACTTCGGACTTCCAAATGGCTACAGAAAAAAAGAGACTGCAACCGGGCCCATGCGAAAACAAGGATCCATATCGGAAGGGCTTTTGAAAGGTGGCGTGAACTCCGTGTTTTGAAGATGTTCAAAACAAACGCAGACGGCTTTTTTTCTGCTGGACAGGTAAGACATTTCAATGGTTCAATTATGTAACAGTAGCACACTTGTTCCCTTAATTCATAGTTACGGAGTACTGAACGGTAGCCCTGATACACATTAAATGTAGTCATGCAATGCTGTCAGCTGATGTTGTTAACATTAAGAATTTGAGAACAAAGTATAATTTGCACGGTTTGACATGATATGATAAGCGATTGTTAGATTTAATCAGCGCGATTTACTGCTATTCTTTTTTCCCTTAGTTGGTCAGAACAAAAGTGGATACTACTTGCTTGTTCAGATGACATTTTCTGGTGAAAATTATTATGTTGGTCATACTTCCAAAAAGTAGATTCTGTGATCCTGAATGACAGTACCCACACCGGCGTGGTGACTGACAGCCGCACATTCTCCTCAAAACATTGGATTCACCCGCGCTGTGCCGTGCCGAAGCACAACCCACGTAGAGTTGATAATTCCGCGAATAACTGCAATTGCAGATTTCGAACAGAGATGGCGACAAAGAGGAAAAACTACGGACTGCAGCTTTAATAATACCATTTAATAATATACGCAATACCATTACAGTACCGAACCATACGATTTTTGCCAATACACTGTTGACAAACTTAAACAGTGTAAATGCATCTAAAAGAAAAGAAGATTAATAATAATAATATAGCCGTCATGGCTATATTATAAAAGTGGCAATCATCGGGTCCAAGCACCAATGGCCCATGATGTGATGTGATGTGGTTTTTATAGCAAACTCCATCTTGAATATTACTGAAAGATAGCGTTTGCAAAATATGTATATCAAGATATGTGTGGTGTATGTGTGTGTGGACTCATATTTAAGTTTAGATGAAATGCATGGACAGGACAATTTCAAATCAATGTGAAGATTTTCAGCTCATTTGCTGCTCCAAACATGATTTATCTGAAGTCTTTATCAGTTTTTCTACTGTCTATATGTATTGCCTTCTAACCTGGCAGTTATAGATTAAAACATATATACAGTATATTATAGTGAAAAAAACCCCATAAAACGGTCTCTTTATTTTAAGTGAAAAGCCATATTTTTAATCTTGTCTGGCAACTTGGAAATGTGTTTTATTTTTATTGATTTTTTTTTGGTGGGGGGGGGTCTAAAAAAGTTAAACATTTAAGGATCTATAAGCATTTCACATATTTATACTGACACTAATTATATAAAACTAGTCAGTCAGTACACCATATTATACAAATTATCTAGATCTATTTCAATTCAAAGGGGCGGAAACTAATTAAAAAAAAAAACATTAGGCTTAAAAGATTCCTTATTCTGTGGCATCCTCTAGTGGACAACTTTAATATGACAGCCTTTATCTTTCAGTTGAAATTGCGGAAGTTGCTGTTAGCCTTCTGAGCATCATAAATTCATGAAACTATAGGCATATTTGCTCAGAATTACTTCTCAGTGTGTAAAAAGTTTTTAGAAGTTTAAAAGTCGTATAGACATAATAGTCATAATGTGCCATACCAACATATACATTTTTTTAATCTCCTAAACAGATCAAAATTCTTTGATAAGTTTTGTCAGAATGAGCTGGAGCTAAAGTTTGGTGAAGGTCTGACAAGATAAACGGCCTAGGAGGAGGTCAAAAAAGTAAAAAACTTTTTTTTTACAAATTAGAATGGAGGATTATAATTCATTAAAAATAAATACAAAATAATCGTATTAACGATTGTTCGGGCTTCAAGCAAGGATTCAGAAAAAATACGAATTTTGCTTCTGTCGCAAGGTTGCTGAGTTATTAGCTAAAATGTAAAGTTGGTTATTATAGCACCACCTTTTGGCTTTCACAGGAATTTGATGTTTTTTTCAAGCATCCAAGTCATAATCATAGACAGTAAAAGAAATGGACACAGCGACCCCATAGACTTCAACGGAGAAAGGTGAGGAGCACTCACTTCCTGATGGCTGAGCGACTGCGGAGGCTCACACTGAGCTTGATGACGTAGATGTGACGTGAGCAACCTGTCTGACAGTTGTACGCCTTCTAGTAGCTGTGCCAAGAGGAATCTGAATCATTCCCTTCCGAATCTTGCAGAGCCGGAGATCGTGAGTATTAGCTGTCCATGAGCTAGGAGCAGGAACAACTTTATGACTCTCTATGGGCTTCTCCCTTGACTTTATGCCTCCACGTCCCCCACGATTGCGCGTGAGCTTCTACTTCTTTCTATACGGTAATTTCTCTACTGTGCGACAGAGAGTCGCGTGTTATGACGCAATCGTTAGCCTATTTTTACAAAAACTGCTTCTACGGGGCCATAACGTAAGATGCAAGGTAATGGAGCCTTTTATACATTGTTGTGTTTCTTTAGAAATAAATAATGGACAAATGGAGTCTTTAAACGCCTCAGATGTAAAGTTATTCGCTGTCAAAGTGACGCCAAAATGAACGGGAGTCAATGGAATGCTAACAGCAGGTGATAGTCTACAATGGCGGCCCCCAGGCAGACTTCAGTTTCCGGCTGGTGGATTACCCCCTTGGTCATAATAGACTAGAGGATATGTTAAGACGTCCAGCAAAGAAGATGCATGTCAATTTTCAACTTCATGGATCATACATTTGAGGAGTTATAATGTTTTTTTAGTTGTAGGGACCCCTATTGGTGGAATTTTACAAAAGCCTTGTGTCGTCCTCCTCAGAATGTCATGTTGTCTTTGTGTGTTAAGTTTTATTAAGCTTGAAGATTGCGTTCAGCAGAGGCTAAATGTCAACTCCTAAATGGCTGCTGCCTGACCTAATTAACTTAATCAAAATTTAAATTCATTTGATAACTTTTTGCCAGCTACTGTGTACCTATTTTGGTAACAATTTGACCAACAACCTATACGAGTCTGAAAAAGTAGGCTAGGTTTTTAGGAAAATTTTAAATGGTGGAAAAATTTTATAGGTGGAAATTAAATCAGAGATATACATTTTGTAGTGCTTGACTCAAGGATATTCTGGGGATTCCAAATTTATGATCAAAAATGCTAATTCTTTTATTTTAGAGCCACTTAGAGTCAGGCGGGTGTGTGTCTGTGCACCTGAGTAGCGGTGCACGATTGGGAACATCTTGGCAATTTGAGGGTCTCTTTTACAGTCTCTGACGCCCATACAGGTTTAGGGCAGAAACATTTTGTGGAAGAACATTGTTTTGGTTGTGCTTTGGCTATGCGTGATTGAACGGATGAATATGGTGTCTCCTACTGGTCATAAAACATTCACTACTAGGCTTATAGCCAGTTTAAATGGAAATGATCTCAATCTGACTCGCTGAAGACGTTACTGTTGCTTTAGACACGTTACTTCCTTGAAAATAAATTCCAGCACAGCTCTACAACAATCATAATGAAATGACCCTTAACAATAGATAATGCTTTACAATGAAATCTGTTAGAGAGCTACTATGGCCTTTCTCACCTGTTGAGTAATAAAAACGCCACGTGGTTGTCACTTAGAATATTCCAGATTCATTAACATTAGAACAAGGTCAAGAAAACAATTCATGTGCGATCGCACTTGTGAATTAGGCAGAATACATTTTTTTTTGTGCGAACAAACACAAAATGATCCACACATTTATTAGAGAATGAGATAAATTATCAGTGGGATCGTCCAAAGTGTACAAAATGTAAGTATTTTGTGTAAGTAAGTTATGCAAGTATTTTAATTTCGTATGA